AATACAGTCATTGATGAAGTGTTGGAAGGTAGCTGGTGCATTTGTCAGGCCAAATGGCATTACCGTGTATTCGAAGTGACCATATCTTGTCCGGAAAGCTGTTTTCCATTCTTCACCCTTCGCCATTCGGATCTGATTGTACCCCTGTCGGAGGTCTAGTTTAGTGAAGTACTTAGCTTTTGAAAGGCGATCTAGGGTTTCTTTAACTAGTGGTAATGGATAGCGATTTTTTATGGTCTGATTATTTAGTGCGCGGTAGTCAACACAGAGACGTAGTGTGCCGTCGGGTTTTTTAACGAAAAGTACTGGGGCTCCTGCTGGTGAGGAGCTGGCCCGGATAAACCCTTTTTCAAGATTTTCTTTGATATAGCTTTTTAATTCTGACAGTTCTTCTCTTGACATTCCATATAAAGGGCCGAAAGGGGGCTCTTTCCCTTCTTTTAGAGGTATTTTATGGTCGTAAGTCCGGCGTGGTGGCATTACATTTGCTAAGGATTCGTCCATCATGTTTTTATACTTGTGATATTGGACTGGAATATATTTCTTCCAGTCTTTGTGTGTCTTTTCTTTTGGTGTTTCACTAATATTTTCACTAATTGTTGCATCCATAAAAATAGTTTTCGCCCTTTCATTGCTAACCAACGCCGCTGAACTTGTTAAATGTGATCCTTTTTGAACGGCAAGTCCTTTGACCGGGACTGGGTTTATAGTGAGGTTGCATTTCGAGCGACATAGGTGAGAATTGAAGAAAATTGTATTGTTTTTGAATTTTAGGAGCGGGTCATGCAGCTGGAGCCACGGAATCCCCAGAACGATGGGATAAGTACCAAGTTTTGTGGCGAAAAATGTTACGTTCTCATGATGGGAGTCAATTTCTAATGGTAAATGGCAGACATGAGTGACGTTACCGGAGGAGATATCTCGGCCGTCAATCATTTGGAGCTTGCGAGGGAATCTCAAGGGGAATAAGGGGAAATTATGGTGGCGCACAAAAGTTTCGTCAATAAATGCAAAGCCTGAACAACCTGAATCTATAAGTGCATGAGTCTGGATAGTTTTCTCATTCATCTTTAATTTACAAGCTGCAATCAAATGATCGCCGTCCAGCTTACTTTCATCAAATGGTCTCGAGTGGTTGGACCTGGATAAAGCATTTACTGAGGATACTATGGGAGGTCCCGGATCAGGGCCATTCGTCAAATCCGGGACTACTGAAAACCCGACTCGGATTCGGTGCCCTCTGCTCTTACTGACTGGTGTGTGGGCAGTGTTGTTCTTAAAACAGCACCAGTAATTGATGCCTGATTTCTCGGGTGTTTCGCCGAGGGGCACTTGTCAGAGCCATGTCCTGCCCCCGCGCAATACATGCAGAGGAAGTTATCTCGACGCCATTGCTTTTCACCTGCTGAAAGTTTGCGAGAACCATTGACAAATACGTAGCGCTTGTCGAGTGATGGTCTAGTGGTAGTTGACGAATGCATTGCTGACAAATCCATTGGTGTTAGACCACCTGGAACATGTGATGGGTGCGCAAGATGCTTGTCAGTAAGGTATTTCGGGAAGTCACGAGTGTATTTTTGTTCAGCCTTGCGGCCCCGAATCTGGTTGTCAATTCTCATGAGTAAAATTGCGTAGTCCTCTAAGATAATTGGTGATTCTACCCGATGTGACATGGCGTCTTTCAAATCTTCTGATAAGCCTTTTTCGAGGGCATCAATTTTCGCCGCCTCATTGTACTCGAGGTAGCTAATAACTCGAAGAAATTTCGAGTAATATGACGCAAAGTCACCAGCCCCCTGTTTGAGAGTAGTCAGTTCACGACGGGCAGTTCCTCGAGGATCTGGGTCTCCAAATGAGGCTTCTAATTATAACAAGAATGCAGTGATAGATGTGAAAGGCTTTTCTGGGTTTGTGTTAACTAGGGGAACAATCTGATCGAGAGCTTGTCCCTCCAACCGACTAATCGAGTAGATGACTTTGGCAGACTCGTCGCGGAATCTGTCATTGTTTACCTCGAGCTTCATCCGTAATTGTGTGATGAAACCGGGCAGTATGCTCCTTGTACCGTCGAATTTTTCGGGATCCGGGAATTTCTCGGAGCGGAATGTTGAGGCTGAATCCCGGGCGGCTGCAGCTGAGTTAGAGGAAGTAGATGAATGACCAGCCTTGGCGATATTTAGGTCAAGGCTCAACTGATTGGTTTGCTCCTCGAGACTTTCTATAACCTGGCGAGCGGCCATGAGCTGGCCTTGAACAGTATCTCTTTCAGTGCGGTATCGATTCAGGTGACCGTTCATGTATGCGTAAAGGGAATCAGCATTAGTTTCGAACTGTTGCCTAAAATTTTCGACTGTGGTAGGGGGAGCCCAATCACGAGAGTAGTCAGTAGTCATGTTGCACGGCGTGGATAAGGACGCAACGTAATCTCGGGGATGAGGGTTTGATAGTGTTCCACGGGGTGCGTTGTATAGCCTAGTAAAAATCTAGGTGGTAATTGAAGGTTCTAAATGGGTCAAAGGAATGACAGGTCTTCTCTAGGAAGAGATGAATGGGCAACTAGTTGCAGTAGGTGTTACACGTGGGTCTTGCTGATGAAGAACTGAGCAATGGATAAATGGTCTTCCCGAAGAAGAGATGGGTAAACAAATGTATTGTAAAGGGTAAATAAAGAAGACGTTGCGTGAGGAGTAAATCTCTCTCACGCCGAACTATTATATACAAGAGTAGAAGCCTTTGCCAACCGGAATTAATCGTAATCAATTCTTGCCAATATCTTCGCATTAATGGCTGTGTTCTTGTCCTTCTCTTCATGACTCTCTTGCATATCCTTACATGACTTTTTACACGACTAATTGTATAGGGGAAGCTATTATTAAATTGATGTCTTTAATTAACTACCCCTTCATCTTATCACGAATTAAAATTAGTATTAAAATTCTAATTACGGATCCGTGAAAACAAATCTGGAAGGCAGTTCTTTAGGATGGACGCGAGAGAGATCAGGACGAGCTCACAAGATGGTGCTGATGAATACCATCTCGACTGGTATAAAATTTGGAAATTTTGGAAGGATTTTCACGAATTGAGCTTTATGCGCGCGCTAAGACTTCGATTGTAACAGTGCAGCCGACACTATAAATACAAGCTAACGATGGAAGGTGTTGTAGTTCGCCTCCTAGTGGTGTTCTCCGGTATAGTTTGAGTAGCCTGGGCACCTACTCTATTTGGGAAGAAGACATCTCAGATTACATTTCGCGCGGAGAAAAGTTGAAAGATGATGGAGGCATGTCTGGATAACCCAGGGTTTTTGAGACGTTCCCCTGGATGGGTATTCACGGATGAGGGTTGACTTGAGGCGAAGAAAAAGCCGCCATAACTTCGCAGTGGTACTTGCAAATGAAATCCGAGGCATGAGTACTCTTTCCTTACGTTGAATCATCTGTTTTGTACTTTTCTTTGATATTGTGTCAAAGCTAGATAGCTGCATACGCAATTAAAATCTGATGCAAAAAAATAAAAAAGATGCGTGGCCCTATTAAGTCCCAACTGAGACAAAAGACGCCAGGGTCTAATCCCTGGGCTTCTACATATTTGAAAGGAAAGGAAAAAAACCAATACGAGATTTTATATACATAGAAAGTGCATTTACATAGCTACTTCCCGCAGATTGCTAAGCTCTTTTGTGGTTATGTAATGATTGCTCGGCGCCATCCCCTGCGTAGGTCAGTCCACATTCCCTGTTGACCTCCACTGCCGAACGGTGGTATGGGAAGCATCATCAGTTTATAGAGTCAAGTGCGCATTACGTAAATATACACGTGTCATATCCCTGTCACTAATTACCAAACCCCGCAATGCCAAAAACACCATCGATCTCTGCTATCCGTCGCAATCGTGATTATCAACATGAGTCAATCTTATACGGTATATTTGTACGGGTCGACATCTAGATAGAAATATTGACAAGGAGAGCTCCGCACCCAGTGGTTTTTGCGATTTTTCCCGGCTGCCATACACCCGCAAATAGCTATCGTTTCGTTGGCTGGAGAGGGGAGATGATGAAGGGCTAAGGGCTCCTCTAAGTGTATAATCGAATGAGGACTTGTTAGGGGCGGTACTGTCTGAGGGGGTCTGTATGGGGGCATAGGAGGGGATATACCACTGGGGTAGGTATCCTTGGCCTATAGGTAGAGAGGAACTGTATTTTCTACACAGTCATAGACTCAGATAGGATAATGAAATGAATTAAAATTAATTAATAATCGTTCATGACTTCCGCTAAGCTAAGCCATAGTCAACCCGTGACAATTATGGTCTAGAGCTCTAACCTGATACGTAAAATTAGTCAAATCCTTCCTGATTCATGGTTACTTGCCTTTCATTTCAAAACTTCCTGCCAAGAGCCAAACTGATAATTTGAAATCCTTCATAGTTGAGCAGAGCCAAACTAAGAATTCTTTGTCTCGGCCTTGGGCTATCCCAGTCGTGCCGTAACTGCTGCCCTGCCAAAGAGGCCATCGAAGTCGGCCAGAGTCTTAGGAACGGCTGTGGAACGCCACAATGTAGATTGAGATATTCGGGATTGCCGCTATTGATTGAATCGAGCTTGCGAGTCTTCGGCTTTAATCCTTCGTCTTTCCAATTTCAAACTCGATCCAATCAGGACCTGCTTCTCTTCTCCCTGTCCTTTATCTGGGAATACTGGGTGCCTTCAGCACGAATCATGTCTCATAAATATCATAGGACTGATAATTTCGTATTGTAACGCCATCATCCCTAAACACTGCTCACATGTAGCTTTGACTCAAATATTTTGGCTAATTCTATAAATTGAAAGAGGACGTAAAGACTGGAATTACCTGCCTGTTACAATCGACTCGCACGAGCTGGTGAATTTCCTAAAATTATGCAAGATCTCTTTCCTGTTGATAAGTAACCCTTTTGCTGATTTGTATTCCTAGCACGATCAGCAGATACGCCAACCATTCCCCTTCATCACCATGCGTTGCATATTTGCAGTTCTCTATTTACGCGAATTGGACTCGATGATGAGCAATCGCTTGGTTGTTATGAGCGCGGATGACTACCCTTCATATGGTGTCTACATACCTCCTGGAGACAAATTTCTGGTGCCTACAGCCAGCAGTGGTATCACTATAACAGAAAACAAACCCAGCCATGATGGTACATACAATGCTCTTTACTGTTCAAACACGCTGCGCACCAGACAAATCGTAATGGCCATCACTGTTAGACTAACTCCCTTGCCGCCATACGTCCTTTGTCCACCTGATCCAAGCCATACACAAGCAATATCATGTAATGATCACATAACGTATATGATGAACAGACCCTTTCCGGTAAAGCTTTTTTCACTAAGTGAAGTTCTGGAAGGCAACAAGTGTACTTTGTCGCAAGTCATTACACTCGGTCAAAAGGGATTAATTTTGCCTTCTGGATATTATGCTTATGATACGCCAAGCAATCAAGAACCGATGTTTTATTTGGCTACCGATAGGAGAGTAAAGGTTTCAGAGATACTCATGTCTAAGCTAGTCTTCAAGGCAATGCATCAAAGCCGTTGGCACATACTGGCTTGGAGTCAAGGCCACTTGCACTTATTTAGGGAAGAAGCAAACCCTAAATATTGGACCAAAATTACTAAATACGGGGAAGAGAAAGAAAACGCAGTCACAATCATCGAGTTTTTGATTAGCTACAATCTTATAAATCACTACTTTCAGGTGACTCCGCAGGGTGAGGACATTAAGCTGACGGGTAATGGTTTAAAATCCATACCTCTTGCCTACAGTTATTTTAAAAATCGAAATGGGGTTAAGTATAATTCTAGAATGATGAAGAAAATTTCACCAGATAGATTTATTTCAAATAGGATATCCCAAACTTCTGAAATTGAATTGAATGAACCTTTGAGCGATGAAAGCTTATTCACAATGTTACGTATATCGAACTTGGTAACTGAGGAAGCATATAATCAACTACGAGTTAATTATTCGTAAAACATTACATGCTGCTTTCACAATTCATTTCATCGAAGGCTCGATCTTTCAACTAAGTAGAGACTTCTACTTCGATAACAATTTTTATCGCTAAATCATTTCCGATCCTACAAGAAACTGAGATATCTCTGGGAAAGATTATATGAACGAACTTTGCTTTGGCGGGGAGGCAAATTTTATCAGACCCAAACACTACCACCACTACATGCAATATTTCAGGCCTATCTGATTTTTACTTTACCATTGTTCTAAACAACCTTTACCAAGTTATACAATTAGTTTGAATAGTCATCAATAGAACCTTTAACCCGAAGCGATCTTTAGGCGAGGCTAACCTAGGCCGATTCACAGCCTACAGACTGACTGATTTCTTTGGCAAGCCTTTTTTTAAATTTACATCCTATTTGGGTGTATGACTATCAGAGATGTTTGGCAAGCCTTCTTTACGCTGATTTGTCTGACAAAATTCACAAAGACTCATCCTATATTTTATCTATCTGATGAAATTTGCTGCTGATTTACTCCTTCGCAATTTTATGCAAGAATCCAAAAAGTGAGCAAACGAAACTCGAGAGCCAAGTTCAAATGGTGTTGGAAATACAGCTACTTGCATTTCTTTCAATCGACCAATGTGGTTGCGTGCATTATGTCTGAACCATACCCTTGAGTTCAGGCAGGAATCTATACTACTGATCCAATCAGTCTCAAACGTTGAGTCTGATTGAATCCTAACTTCACTTAGCAAATCCAATGCCTGGCTTGCTCAAATTTTCTCTCGCATGCCACAATAATTTGGGTCGGTAGATAGTTTTTTTCTGGTTAGGGATCCCGATGAACTCTGCGGTCAGCTCGGTTCCGGGTAACCGTTCCCCCCTCACAATTCTATTGTATATACTGTCATACCTGTCTTATATTTAGTTAATGAAGTAAATTAAATTTCTAACCTGAAATCATTTCTACAATCTAACTAATACTCATAGTAAATCCAAATAGATAATCATGTATTGAAAGTATAGCGCAATGAAATTGGCGCGGGACTCCCGGAGAGAAAAAGGAGCTGGCTAATAGAGCCTCTTGTTTTTTTTACTGCTGTGTAAGTCGATGTATGGCCTGTGTGGTAAAGAGCCAAGAGAGAGAGAGAGGTTTGTTTATTGAACTACTTGAGTCTTAGATTATCTAGCACTTTGGGCTCCTTTCTGACTCAGGCAACACCTTTTACAGTGCTCCTTACCTCTCATCTTCCTTGAAAGATCATTGATTTATTGCCCCTGATGAATGGCCATTCAGCTCAGTATCTACCCGTAGAATTCAGCCGCCTTTTCCACGGAACCTTCTATCTCCAAAAAAATAAAAATAGTAGCAATGGAAACTACGTGCGCGGGAAAAAGTCTCAATAAACTTGTAGCCCCGGCCAGGCGAGGCCTAGACACCGGGACCACATGAGGTGCGCATATTCATCTACATCTTCCTTCTTTGTAACATTAGAGGTCATTTGGGTCCAATCCACCATCTCCGTATTGGGTATTGGGTACGCTTCTGTTGTGATCAGACCCACTTATAGATCACACAACTTGGAATGGCTAGTATTGGGCAAGTGAACCAACAAGACAAGCGACCCTGCGTCAATGATACGTCATCGGCACACAGCAATGACAACACCAATATCTCAACCATACATGATTATATGATAATATGACGCAGGTATATCTAATGACATAGTTGTTGAATGGCTGAATGGTTGGCGGTTATTGCTATTGATGGTATATGGTATGTATTGTCTTTGTGTATAAATACTCACTGCTAGACCTCTGTATATGATCAACCTTTTCCTCTCTTATATTCAATAGTCATCAATATAGCAGATCTACAATATATATCTGTCTTCTTCACGTTAGACTTAAAGTGCTATCCTACATCCACCCAAGTTGACTGTTACACCCATTGTGACAATTCTTAGACTTCTCATAACCTCGTTATTACAATAAGAAATGACATCACCTTCCATTGGTGGGAAATCCCTACATTCGGATCCTGCCTGAGTGTAATCGTAGTCCGTCGCAGCGAATTTTGGACTTTACATAAGCAATTACATGGCTTTAGCCAAATTGTGAATGACGCCTGTCGGGCCGCCGGATAATCAAGGCAGCTGCCCGCACCACCCATACACATTTGAACTCTCCCCAACGCTCCCCACAAACTCTCCGCCGCTCATCTTGATTGGTTTGAACTTCTGGCATGAGTAGCAGTCTCCCATGAGAATCCCATTAAAAACCCCAAATATCTCGCATGAAGCGCGCGCATGAAGCAAATTAAGGGACATCGTCCGGTGAGCCTGCACAAAGAACGCGCGCGCGCAAAAAATAGAGACAGAGACGGAAGAATCCAAAGGATCGTTCAATTATTATATTCCAACTTGACGCGCGCGTTAAGTCGGGTGTTTCGACATCTTCATGAAAGAGATTAGCTTGATCTAATGCACCACTGTTGTGGTTATGAGCTGTGAGGTATATAGCAATTATGTCTCTGCTGTCCGTCGGTGGAATTACACGGGCTCATGTGCAATGGTGAGTCGCGGAGATGGCGCGCTCACGCTGGGTGATGGCACGATGGACACTGAGTGCGTATCACTGTGGCCAAATGGGTGTCAGTAGGTATCAAATGTGAACTCTTACTGACGATGGTGATCTATGAAGGTGATGCTAGATGTGCATCCCGACGATTGATAATATCATCTAATGGATGATGTGAAGTATGATATTATTTTGGATACATTGATTCACTAAACTCGGCAGGTGAAGAGATTGTATAGTACATGAACAGCGTCTGTGCACCAGCCTGTATTTTCCACCCTTTCCTAATCCAGCAGCCCATCCTCCGTTCCCCTGTCTCCTAACAACTCAACCGAGCCAGCACAACAACCACCGCCGCATCACATGCAGGGTAAGCGAAGAGCGAAGGCTGAACACCTGTCAGTCGTGCCCTCTACAAACCTGAGAGTGAAATATTCTTCCAGAGCCGAGATTCAGTCACGAAAAAGGGTGGGATAAATTTTATTTGATGGATTTTCGACTTGAAGGAGTTGCACTCGATATTTTGGTCGAAAAATCAGTCGGCAGAGATTTCACAGCCGGAACAAAGTCGAATAAAAACTCATCACTACCAACATACGATTCAAGAATGGGCCTAGGTCTGTCTGGGAGTCTTATTCAAACATCCGACATCTCTCAAACTCCTTAAATATTTGCGACGATCCATGTCTCGGCCGATCTCATACCTGCGACCCACCTCTATACTCGTCACGTCACCTAACTACACACGCCTGATGAGGAAAGTCATGATGGAAACAGGACGTGTGCAAAGGAGGAAGAAAGGGAAAGATACACCGAGGGGATTACACAAATCCCCAATGACGACAACAACCCGACGGTACGATGTGAAGGTGCAAGGCTAGAGCAACGATGAAATTTTGGACGGCATTTATATTTCGGAATCAATGAGGATGTCAAGGGCTCGGGCGCGTGGTGGCCGAGCCTGGGGAGGAATCTGCGCTTCGGCGCGTCAAAAGGGGGTTCTCTGGACGGTTGGGCTTGACATGATTTAACACATGGGTGAAGTCTGAGGTAGTCCGGTCATTTAGGTGGGACGAGGTAGATGTACTTAATGGTAGCTAACCTGATCCGGCCCGGCCCCACCCGTGCTTTTTTTTTTTTTTTTTTGCATCAGATTTTAATTGCGTATGCAGCTATCTAGCTATGACACAATATCAAAGAAAAGTACAGAAAAGATGACTCAATTTACAAGAGGAGCACCCATGCCTCGGATTTCATTTGCAAGTACCACTGCGAAGTTATGGTGGCTTTTTCTTCACCCCAAGTCAACCCTCATCCGTGAATACCCATCCAGGGGAACGTCTCAAAAACCCTGAGTTATCCAGACATGCCTCCGTCATCCATCAATTTTTCTCCGCGCGAAATGTAATCTGAGATGTCTCCTTCCCAAGTGGAGTAGGTGCCCAGGCTACTCAATCTATACCAGAGAACATCACCAGGAGGCGGACCACAACACCTTCCATCGTTGGCTCGTTTTTATAGTGTGAGCTGCACTCTCGCAAGCGAAGCCTTGGCGCGCACAAAGCTTAATTCGTAAAACTCCATGCCAAAATTCGAAATTTCACGCCCGTCGAAAACGTATCCCTCTTCTGCATCATCTTGTGAACTTGTCCTGATCCCTCTCACGTCCATCCCAAAGAGCTATCTCTCAGATTTGTGCTCCACGCTTTGCTTCCTCCGTCGGGTATAAATACCGGTGTGGGCGTGTATTTGGTGGTCAACTGAGACCAGAGAAAGTCGACGAGAGGTGTGGTCATTGAAACGAGGATGTACTAGGTCGTACTTGTAGACTTGATGAAGCTTAGTTGAGAATCGGACTCTTTGGGAGTGAAAGATTGACATGGTGGAGTAATTTGAATTTTTGCCTCGTGGGCCAACTTCTTTGATATTGCGAAATTTGACTGAACTTGGCTCTGGGAGAATATTTCACTCCCAGGTTCGTAGAGGACACCGCGTACAGGTGTTCAGTCTTGCCCTCCCCACCCGTGCTTAAGCTCCAGTAGGAGTGCAACGGGAATCACTATACCTAGCACTTAAATGAAAAAAACAAAAACAAGCAGGGTAAGTGTCGGAAACTCGCTGGATGGCTTCTCCCCTCCAACCATGCAAGAAACCGGTTGGTGGAAGTCACGCGTAATCACCGAGCTAATTGGTTATCTATGATGGGAATTGCATCCGAGATCTTTCAAAGTAGAAGAGGACAGGGGCTCTACGCGAGGCGTGGCCTGGTTCGGAGAGGAGCCCAACATGTTAGATGGTCGCGGATTCGAGTAGCATAGCTATGGTCAGATCAATGAAACACAACCGATCTTGCCAACCGCTTCATCCCTCACATGCCGCACCATCCCTTATACCAGAATGCAGACGTACAACTAGTGAGGGTCACCCAATACTTTTTAGGACCAAGATTGATTACATCAAGCCGGCAATTCAACATTACCTTGCATAAACTGACTTTGCAAATGTAGTATATTTTAACTCTATAAATCATGTATTCACAGCGCTTGACACTAAAGTTTCTAGTACACTATTTCATAACTCCTGAGCCCCCTCCTTATTTACGTGACTGCGATGGCTGACCTATGACCTACGCCCGAGTCCAATACTCGACGTAGTTCAATCTTGTCACCCCTCTGCCTCACTAACGGCTAAACAGAGTCCAGCTATGCCTTCCGATTCCAGTAGATAGTTTTAACCTTGCCGAGAGATAATATATGGATAGCGTAGTGTAGGGACTCATCATATTGCTTCATCCTAAGCTCCTACTCGCCCTTGCCTGTATAGATTCCATGTATATTAATCACCGCCTAGTTGGTGAAAGGAGGTCGGCGACCTGGGTCATCTCTGCCGGGTGGTCCTCTTCCTGGTTCTCCTCTTCCTGGTTCTCCTCTTCCTGGTTCTCCTCTTCCTGGTTCTCCTCTTCCTGGTTCTCCTCTTCCTGGTTCTCCTCGTCCTGGCTCTCCTCTTCCTGGTTCTCCTCTTCCTGGTTCTCCTCGTCCTGGCTCTCCTCTTCCTGGTTGTCCTCGTCCTGGTTCATCCCGTTCATACTGGTCTGATGACTTGCTTTGTAAGTTCCCGTTGTTCATCTTGCCGTTATTATCTTCACTAGAGCTTTCGACATTTTTACCCGAGCTACTTTCGGAATAAGCTGGAGCCGGCGAGTCATACGCTGGTGGTTGATCAGCCGAATCATCTCCTTCCGGCACATCGGGGACGTCAGGAACTTCAGGTACGTCAGGAACTTCCGGGACATCAGGAACATCAGGAACATCGGGGATTGCGGGTATTTCAGGGATATCAGGAATGGCTGGAATGGCTGGAATTTCAGGGATGCTAGGAATAGCCGGTATGCTGATGGATCGAATCTTTAATGCTCTCGATGTAGCCGGGACGTCTGGAACTTTGGGGACAGCCGGAACATTTGGTATGGCCGGTATGTTGATAGATTCTCTCTTTACTAATTTTGATGTAGCCGGAACATCTGGAACGTCTGGAACTTTTGGAACAGTTGGAATATCTGGAATAGCGGGAATGTTGATAGATTCTAGTCCAGACAATAGTGGTATGGCAACAGTCGTGATTGCGAGTAACGGTAAGAGGGTGATGGTTAGATATTGCATCTTGAAATAATTCTTGCTAGCGTTGAGCTTCGATTCTTGTCTTCAAAGATGGAAGTGCTGGGATTGTATGAGCGTATAGGTGTGTGGTGAAGAGATATTCACACTGGTGTTGGAAGAGGTGGATTCAACTGTGGACACTGATGGAATCTTCACAGTTGCGGCAAGTACTTTATATATCCAACCGTCGCTGATCAAGTGCCTCATACGAGTCTCATGGCTTATATGAGATAGGCGGCTGGCTCATAATTTGGTATCGCTCGTAGTCTGTTATTTTGTTTTGCAACTGCAAGGCGTGGGCGAGTGTTTCTCAAGCATAGGCCCTGTAAAGTAGTCGGGGCCCCAAACATTTGTCGACGAGATATTACCCAAGCACGAGAAGTTGATGGCGCCTCCGATTCGGAAGTTTATGAGCCGCTTGAACGCTAAGCTGCAGCTCGATCGGCCGCGGTTAATTGCGTAGTGTCAGCCATGCCAGACTTTGGCTACAAGGAGGATCAATTGACTCTAAAATTGTTGTTACCTGCCCACTGGTAGCTATTCGCGGGATAGTCTTGCATCATTACCAATCAGTTTTTTGGCTTCTGTCTACATGAAGATAATGACGCTATTCTGTCTGTGGGGTTGCGGCTTGGTGCACGAGCCCTTGACTCCTGATTGGATGCCGAAGCATGTAGGGCGTCTCCATTCCCCTGGTAGTCGAGGAATCGGGCCCCACGATCCGGGACAACCAATCACCGCGTGTTTTCCCACCGATCTCGTCTACATTTAAGCGGCATATAAGCGAATTAGCTTCATGAGCTAATCCAGCACAGGCTAGCTTTAGCGAATAGCTAGCTAATAATACACTACGACCGCCGTCCAGATCAGCACTACCCGGGGCTGGAATGTGCCAAGGAGAGACATGTTGGGTTATGTGACCTCAAGTTTTGCGGTAAGTCGTCCTAGCCAGGAATCCCTTAGACTACAGATGATGAGTGAAACTGACGAATGGGCTATCTACGTTTGCATTCTATTTCAGAGTACGGCAGGGTGATCAATTGTACCACTTCGCCCTCAAGATCCGAAATACTAGGCATTAGGGTTGGGGCAGTATCAAGGCGTTGCCGATTGCAGGATTGGTACTCTAGTCAAATCTAGATAGAGCCGGAACAAGCTAATGTTGCTTGGAGAGCTGCGGTGGGCGGCCATCGATTCTTCGCATCCAGTCCCTAACCGCTGGTACAAAACTCAATGCTTATTAACCACCAACAAGACCGAGCATACCGGACGTTGTTTCGAACATGTTACTAGACCCTGTCAATATGGAATATGGGACAACTGATGAACACAAGGTGGTTAAGCGGACGAGCTTTTAGTCTGAAGCTAAAAAGAACCTGCATATCTTGATGCATTTCTAGGATGCAGAGGACAATTATTACTACTGAAAAATATCTTACGCGCCTCATTCAATTATGGATCTGAAACGGCCGCGGAGGCTATCGTCTCGCATACAGGATACGCTGATCAAGCTTGTGCAGTAATTGGGAATGCAGCAAGATGCAGGCCAGATTCCGGGTGCGCATCATTGGTAGAAGTAGATGTAAAGCTACGGCGTGAATCCCTACCTTACTGTATCACGTCTGATCAATATTTAGACGGTGGAGAAGACTCATCTACATCAGACTGAACCTTGCCAACTCACTCTATACTATCTAGGATGATCCCGCCTCAGAATCAGACAAGACTATGGCTGGATGAACATCAATCATCTGCCCTACTTCTTTCATCCAACTGTGATTTTATTCCATGCCCACCACCATGGATTCGGAAACTTCGCATATCTTAGTAAGACTAGAACTGTGCGGCCAATTTTGTAAATCTCAAGTTGGCGGCGAATCCTGGAGTCGAAAAACAAAACCGTCATTAAGCGCAGCAGACTGACGCACTAGAAGCTTCAGCACCAGTGCAGGTTAGCCATATCTCTAAGAAATGAGAAACTATTCTGTATGTTGACGTGCTAAGCAATTGACTCTCCTCACACCCGTAGCAACTTGAGCCCTGGCGGGGCCGGGCTGGATAAGACCGGCTGCCAGACAAATTACTATCAATCTCGTCTACCCTGAATGCCTGCATTACCCCAGACTTCACCCACAGACACACGCATACCAAGTCTGAACGTCCCTTAAACTCGCTGTATGTGCATCGCAGCACCTACTCCTCAGCCTCGGCCAACATACATCTAAGCTCTCGACCTGTTAATTATCTCTACATTTCTATATCTTGCCAGATCCTAGAATTTGCCTGAACAATCTCTAACTTTTTTCTTCTTTTCAGTCCCAGCTTTGCCACGTTGCAGAACCGTCTCATCTAAGAGTACTTTTCCTTATTGGAGGCCTATTCATTTTTACAACCTTTTTTCCCGCATTGAAATACCTGCTTGATGCATTCAATAATCTCTCTAACTTGAAGACTTGAAAACTGCCTCTCGTCGCGACCGTACTCCTTATTGTGGAAGCCGAATATGCGGATTGGATCTCGAGAACGAGCTACCAATACCCTGACTTTTGTCGACGCTCTGGTTTATGGGCCGGCAAAAATATCGTAGTTCTTTTTTTGAAAATTTGCGTATATTCAGCCATGTGCACACGTCAGATGACTCTTCTGACCTCAGAGACACTCGTTACTTAGACCTGAATATTACGACCTAAGGCGAAGACATGGGACGAGATATTCGGCTATATAGTATTTGCTACAAGGGTGAATTAGGGTATCGTTTTTAAGACTGGTTTCCAAAGCCAGTAACTATTGAAGCTTTGTTGTCGAGTGAAAGAGATGAGGTAAACGTTCAAGGATCATGATGTATGAGATAACTAAGACTAGGATGTATGAGTTCCTTACTATTATGGTTATACTATTTCGGGGATTTTTCCATATATTACAAAATGATGGTTCCTTTTACTAGTGGGACAAATTGCCTAGGTTTGGCTAACGGCTTTCGCCATTCTGTTCCTTCTCCCCTGCATGCCATCACATGATATACGACTACTACTCACCATGAGTTTGAGGATGCGAAATATTAGGTTACAACAAAAACGTCATAGATGAGCCAATCTAAATGAAATACATATCTTGCCGAAATATCTGCAAGTACGACCTAGTACATCCTTAAACGACCACAACTCTCGTCAAATCAGTCTCTAGCCTCTACATACACGCCCACAGGAGTATAAATACCGGCGGAGGAGACAAATTGTGGTGCACAAATCTATGAGGCAGATTTTTTGGGATAGACATGAGGGAGATCTAGACAGGTGGACAAGATGATGCAAATGATGGATAAAATTCCAGGATGAGTGAGATTTTGAATTTGGACGAGGAGTTTTTTTAAATTAAGCTTTTTGCGAGCACCAAGACTTCGATTGGAGGGCAAAACTGAAAATCGTACGCGGTGTTCTGTACAAACTTGGGAGTGAAATATCCTCCCAGAGCCAAGTTCAGTCAAATTTCGCAATATCAAACAAGTTGGCCCACGAGGCAATGATTCAAATTACTCCACCATTTCAATTTTTAACTCCCGACGAGACTGATTCCCACCTAAGACTCATCAAGCTTACAAGTACGAGTCAATTCATCCTCATTCCAATGATCATACCCCTCGTTTAGTTTCTCTGGCCTCAGCTCGTCACCAAATACACGCCCACGCAGATATTTATACTCGACAGAGGAAACAAAGTGTGGTGTACAAATCTGGAAGGCAGTTCTTTAGGATGGACGCGAGAGAGATCAGGACGAGCTCACAAGATGGTGCTGATGAATATCATCTCGACGGGTATGAAATTTGGAAATTTTGAAAGGATTTTCACGAATTGAGCTTTATGCGCGCGCTAAGACTTCGATTGTAATATTGCAGCTGACACTATAAATACAAGCTAACGATGGAATGTGTTGTAGTTCGCCTCCTAGTGGTGTTCTCCGGTATAGTTTGAGTAGCCTGGGAACCTACTCTATTTGGGAAGGAGACGCCTAAGACCACATTTCGCGCGGAGAAAATTTGAAAGATGATGTAGGCATGTCTGCATGTCTGCATAACTCAGGGTTTTTGAGACGTTTCCCTGGGTGGGTATTCATGGATGAGGGTTGACTTGGGGTGGAGAAAAAGCCGCCATAACTTCGCAGTGGTAGTCGCAAATGAAATCCGAGGTATGAGTACTCTTCCTTTATATTGAGTCATTTATTATCTAATTTTTCTCTCATATTGTCTCGTAGCTAGGAAGCTGCATGCGCAATTAAAATCTGATGCCAAAAAGAAGACTTCGGTTGCGATAGTGCGGGCGACACTACAAATACTCCTATAGTTAGATGGCTGTTATGCTTAGCTATGTAGTATGGTAGATCTAGTGGCTGGCGCATAGGTAGTAATTATGGCAGTATGGCATTATGGCGCATGAAGGAGATCCAGTATTTATATAACGACATTACAATTTGTTATATGTGCAGTATGAGAGATGGGTTTTTGATACAGGACAATGGCATAGTTGCTCAGTTGGGAGCACACTTTGGTGCGCTTCATACTGGTTACGTGATGGGTCCACAGGCGATCAAGCTAGGGGATGAGGGACTAGCTTCTCACAACTGTAACATAACAAATATCATAGCAACTTCACTTCTGCACATTAATGAAGGGATCTCTCCACAAACTTTCTTGGCTGATCCAGCGCAAATTTATACCCCCAACTCAAATACCAATTTTAATAATTGTGCGGCGGTACATTATCTGGGCCGGTCTACCAAATAAGGTCTGGATAACTTGGACACATCCCATTTGAGACAGTAGATCGCTCGTTCGAAACCGGCAAAACACAACCACATTTCTCGCGGTATAAGCTTGAGTGGATGACGAAGGTATGCTTGGACTATCAAAAGTATTGAAATGTTCCTTTGGTGGGTACTCACGCGGGGGGTTGAGTGTTTGTATAAGCAAGCATACCTCAAAGTTGTATCTGCAAACGAAATCTAAATTA